CCATTTAGAAATGATTATATCAAAAATACTTGGAATTTTTTTTCTGATAATCTCAAATTTATACATACAACTTTACTTCATTTCCATTGTCTTACACTTGAATTAGTTTGACTGTGGTTTGTAAAACTTATCTATTTTACCTCAGATTACAATCAGAAAAAACTTACCTACAACGATTGTACACCTCTTTAAAAAAGAGAATGATTTTTCAATGCATGGTTAAAAAAATAGTTAAAGCTTTATTCTTCCCGTGAATCCAACAATCAATACATATTGTTGATTTCATTTTAAACTTATTTCTTATAACTACTTATACATTCCTTGAAAGATTGAATAACATATGTTACACAATGAAATGAAACATAGTTTTGCATTATAGATCGTTGTTTTGCCTTGAAACCATGAATGAATCATTGTTAGATAAGCATTAGAAACGTGGAAGCACTAGACGGTCGTTTCATCTTGGTATAGGACAGACTCATCAGCAGTGCTCATCCATGACTCCTGCTAGCGTGAATCGACTATAGGACCCTCGGACTTAAAGTCTGCACCACTGAGCCGTCATCTAACTGCAAAAGATAGTGACTAGCTTTGTGAGGTCCTCGGAGTTCCAGTCGGAAGACGTGACCAGTGGATTTCAACTCTGTCAGATATAGGCACTTACTAATGAAGACAATGAGTGAGGTTGCGCAAAATCCTTAGATTGTTTGAAGTTAACATTCACACAGTCAGATGCTGGCTGGCTCTATCGTTCAGGGGGAGCCGCTTCCGCGCTAGACCGAAGGTCGGTGGGTTCGCTTCCTGCGAGTAGCAGGAGTCGTGGATGCACACTGCTGATGAGTGAGTTCAATACCAGGACGAAGTGGCCTACTCCAAGTGCTTCCTAGTTTCTAATACTGGTCTAACAACTATTCGCTCACAACTTCAAAATGAAACATAATTCCACCAAATGACTACCAATCTATCTCAAAACACAAGACTACAATCAACCATAAATAAGCACAATGCAAGAATACATACACAACCACCTATCAAATACTTACTTCTAATAAATCTTCTTATATACCACAGTCGATAAATAATCAAAAGACCAAAAATCTCGGCAAATGTTGATGCTGTATCGGCTTGTAATGTAATATGTAAATAGTTGCATAATTCTAAAACTTTCGATGTATTTCCTGTTGTTGTTGGCGTTATTCGTGTTGGTCGATTCACATGTCGAAAAATATTGTAAATATTTAATGAGAAACATACAATACATATGAGACTATCAATGATAAATAGTAATTGACGACCCCACTGACGACATCCCATTGCCCATATTTTCAATGGTACTTCCACAACAAATAATGACAATGTGAATAAACTTAAACATTCCAGCGCTAATTGACCTTCAAGAATGAGTCGTTGACTATTGCCAGGCTGAAAGAAAATGGCGACAATTTGGATACAATGAGTATTATTATTAGTAGTATTAGGTTATTAGAAAATAAAATTGTTACGCCTACGCGTAAACACGTCATTTTGATTAGCTTGAACTATAACGAGTTTACCTTAGTCGGAAAACGAGAGCGAGTATCGAGGATCCGGTGACACGACATGCTAGACTAATCCGAGTTTCCCAACCAAGAAGACTTGACATGATGTAGAACCTGTATTCTACAAACATCCAGAAAGTACGAGTTCTGAATCCAGAACAGAATCAGGATCCCGGACTAGGGATTCGGGACCGGGTCCTGGTCGTGGTCATAAAACGTTACACATAATGCGTATTTATACATTTTGGTCGAATAGGAAGCATCATCGAAGTCTGTAACACTTACTGTTAAGATGATCAATCGGAAGCAACATTTGAAGTGACATTGATATCTAGGACGACCATGATATTGACAAGCAGAAATTAACCAATAGGGATTGACCAACATTCTTATGATGGATTCAAAATCGTACACGATGGACAGCTAACAGACTCTTTCTACGTAAAGACCGGTGTCAGGCAAGGTTGCTTACTTTCACCCTTTCTCTTTCTCCTGGTGATCGACTGGATTATGAAGACCAAAATCAGGATTTTCAATACAAATGTCAAGACATTTCTACTGTATGGAGAGGAAACTTGGAGAACTACCAAACCCATCATCCACAAGATACAAGTGTTTATGAACAGTTGTCTACGCAAAATACTTCGTATTCGTTGGCCAGACATCATCAGCAACAACCTACTGTGGGAGAGAACAAACGAGATTCCAGTGCAGGAGGAAATCAGGAAGAAGCGGTGGAAGTGGATAGGACACACACTACGAAAAGCACCGAACTGAGTCACGAGACAAGCCCTCACATAGAACCCTCAAGGCAAAAGGAAAAGAGGAAGACCAAGGAACACATTACGTCGAGAAATAGGGAAAGATATGAGAGGAATGAACGAAAATTGAACATAACTGGAAAAGGAAGCCCATGACAGAGTTGGTTGACGAAAACTGCTCGGCAGCCTATGCTTCATTGGGGGTAACAGGCGAAAGTAAGTAAAGTAATTGGCCAACAATTTCCTTAGGATATCGGATGAATATCCTAACAAAAACAGAGTTAGACATCAACACCGTTGGATACCGGCCCAGTGGTCCATAAGTTTGTCGTTCGCGCACAATTCCGAAGGTGCCGGGTTCGAATACTGCGCGATGCAGGAGTCGTGGATGCGCACTGCCACTGATAAGCCTCTTACCACGACGAAACGGCCGTCTTTCAGTGATTCCAGGTTACCAATAGTGGTCTAACAATGATTGATTGATGATTTGATATGTGTAAAAACACTAATCTTCATTACTCTAATTGAAAAAATATTCAATTATTGACCAAGATGATTCATTCTATTGACATATGATCAATGTTTACTTTGTTATAAATTTTTTAACAAGAACAAATAATCATTACTCATGTCTAGTACGCCTTATCGTTAGTTCTCCTACAATAATCATGGACCATTTTATAATGTACATATATACATATATGTAGACAAGGTTAAAAGGTAAAATGGTTTTCGAAAATCATTGAAATCATGGATTGTTCAGTGTTAGGTTACCATTAGAAAACTAGAAGCATTTGATGGCAGTTTTGTTCCAGTAGTGTGTATCCACTATCACGCAAGCGGGATTCGAACCTACGACCTTCAGTCTCCAGCGCGAATGCCGGAATCCAAAGGTGTTGATATCTAACATCAGCCAATCTATGGTACTGCGCAACCACATCCATTGTCTTCGGTGAGTAACTACCGTCTCACATCCCACACGGGTGAACTCCACTGGTCACGGCTTTTTACTAGAACGCAGAGAATATCCCCTCAGAAATCTAGTTACTAATGAGCTCATTATAATTATCGTTATTGGGTTAAGGAGATTGTTTGAATTATTCTATAGCTAATGTCTAATCGATAAAGCGTTATATATCATAACTAGATTCAACTGTAATATTAACAATGCTTTATATCGCCAAAGTCCAACTGAAAACAAACAATTTTAAAAGGTAACATTTCTAGACAGTAAACTCAACAAACATATTTCGAATTCAATCAATTCAATCGATTACAACAGTTACATAATATAAAAATTTGTCAAATTATAAACAAGTGTTGATCAAATTTCAACATAAGTTTTTTTTACATTTTACGGTAGACCTAAAGTAGATCAAACGACTTTGATTTCATTTAATATATACTTATTTAAGCTCAGCAGTGAATCACATTTCTGGTGAAGTGACCTTGAACAAGTTTTGTGAAATTCAAGGTAACATATTTAATTATTAGTTAATTCAATGTATATCTGTTATACTCGTCTCTAGGTATACTTAAAACTATTACGGGTTCACCATAGTCAAATAACGAGAACAAAACAATGAACCAGCGTCCAGGTAGGCTACTGTGATCCGATTATCTTAACTGTACCAGCAGAAAGTCTTGATATAGCGTAGAAAGTGTATTCTACAAACACCTAGCCAACCCACAATGAATCCAAGCACACAAATAGCGTTCATTTATACACCATAGAGACGTCCTTGGGAGAGTTACAAAATAGCACACTAAAATAGCGTAGTAACCAATCACAGCTAAGGATTTTTCTGGTGGGAAATGTAATCTCAAGGTTAACTGATCGGTCCGTGAAATAAATCTAGAATAAAGATATTTATCAAGCGAGTTCTGGGGATCTAACATCCCCAACAATATCAGTGAGATGAGATGCACCTTTTGGAATCGAAAGGAGGATTGAAATATAAACGATCAGTTTATAGGAAACCAATCTGCACTAGACCTGTTATTCACAGGTTGATCAAATAGTATGATTATAGGACTGAGATTAAAGGCTGACGTTAAGGAAATATATTATGCAGTTAAATTGATTGTAACAGAAACGACTAAGCCTATGATCCCACATAGGCCTAGGCATTGCATGAGCGATTACGTCACATCCTATTGCATTTATCAGTTTACAGGTTTTCATGGGCTCACATACTAAGGAAGGAGTAGTTGGAAAATGTTATCGATGGCTTCAAAACCAGTTAGTGCTTAGTGATCCGATAAATGTGAGAGGTAGAAAACCAGATTCATACAAATGACAAAACACATAATCGAAACGGAGCATACGCGCCTGACATCGAATCAGCCTTTGTACAGAAACGTTCAACGATGAATTCTGAGATTTATGGAAGCTATTGCTATTCGTAAATTCAATGAACTTTGTAAGTAATCAACTCTTTCTGCCTACAAATAATCTTTGATTTCTAATGGTTTCTTAGGGTAAGATTAGTTTAATCCGCAAAAGAATGTCAATATGCTTTTCGGACAATAATCATGGTGAACATTTTTCGATTTACGATCAAAGAAACTTTTTAAATAATCACTATTATCATGCCAAAAGACTGAACATAAACTGTAATTTTAATTATCGGAAACATGAAAGAAAAGTTGTATTGTCATTAAAAGGTATTTACAAAATAATACAGAATACAGTGAATAGGAGTAAGGTATTTGTACAACTGATGACTTACGTAACCAATTACACGAGTTAGAATTCACTGTAGGTGAATCTTATTGCTAGTGCGTATCATTAGAAAAACTTATATATCTGTTTTCTTTTTCAATGTAAACTTATTGTAATTTAGGACAGTTTGAATACTCTTGTAGTCTGTGTACCGCTATATCGAGTCCATATCACTTGTCCCAGACTTTGGACAAATTAACTGATACATTCGTCTCCAGTTACAAATTGCACGTTTTCGACCTTGTCAATTATTCGCTTGTGACCTTGAGGGCGTAGGTGAATTGCTTAATTTGCTTATCACATGACCTTAGCTTGTTTTTTATTTGACAATGATTACTTAGTCATTCCTCATTGCATTAAGTTGATCCACTTGTCTTCTGCACTTCGTTTCGCTTTGCTTTTATGTTGGTCTACGTGAATGATTACTTGATATAAACCCATCTCACTTAGTCCGTTGTTAGCTTCTTATTACCACAGTTGCATAAACGGGGTTCGCGATGGAATGATGTTCGTAAATTAAAGGAAAGATTTATTTCACAGCACATAGGAGTTAAATCATTGGTCACTAAATTGATGACCCCTATTTTGATTGATAATTTTTAAGCAGTTCATGTACTAGCCGACGAACCATGATCTTTGGGCAGAAGCGCGAGTGGTCAAAAGAGTTGGTCGAGTTATGTACGAAGTAGAGGTAGGAGGTGATAAATGGTCACGTCATCGACCAGTCAAGAGCAGAAAGCCTTCCCCTTGACATCTTGCTTGATACCTTCAACCTATCGAGAGCCCCGCCACGAGAAGAAACTCAGTAGCAAGCTGTTCTTCGTACCCGAAG